AGCGAAATGGTCAATACGAAGAGTACGACTGCATAATTCAAGAACAACTTCAACAAGGAATTGTGGAGCCAGCACCTGACATTCCAACTGGAAAAGAGTACTATATCCCGCATAAAGGAGTTGTCAGAGAGAATGCTGAAAGTACCAAGCTCCGAATTGTGTACGACGCGTCAGCAAGAGAGAAAGATAACCAGCCATCCTTAAATGACTGCCTCCACCCAGGGCCTCCACTCCAGAACCGTCTGTGGGACATCCTCGTGAGATCGAGATTCTACCCAATACTTCTAACGGGTGATCTTAAGAAGGCATTTCTGCAAGTTCGAATAAAGAAAGAAGAACGAGATTCCTTACGTTTCCACTGGAAACCCCCAAGCAGTTCCAAAACCACCATCCTTCGTTTCACCCGAGCCCTATTCGGAATGACGTGCTCACCATTCCTCCTCGGTGGAGTTATCAATGACCATCTCAACACTTGGGAAAGTCATCACCCCGAGCTGATTAAAGAAATTCGTGATGGTCTATATGTTGACGACCTAATGACCGGTGGCGAGACCGTCGAGCTCACTGCAGTGAAGAAAGTAATCACCACAGAAGTGTTTAAAGACGCCACATTCACCATTCACAAATGGCACTCTAACGCCTCAGAACTAGAAACAACCAGTGGCCCATCATCTGAAGAGTTGTCCTATGCTAAACAGCAACTTGGAGGAACAAAACCCTCAGAAGGCAAACTGTTAGGCCTTCCCTGGAATAGAGAAGAAGACACGATTAGCGTCATCATCCAGAGCGACCAGACCGAAACGACCAAGAGAGGAGTGCTGTCTCACCTAGCCAAAATCTATGACCCTCTGGGACTAGTGTCACCGGTAACACTTATTGGCAAACAGCTCTACCGCGACATTTGTGACAGCAAAGTACCTTGGGATACTCAACTTCCAGGACCGTTGCTGAAACGCTGGAAGGACTGGAACAAGACACTAACCGAGAATTTCACAGCCCAGCGAGCACTTGCTCCCTTCCACCAACCGATTTTGAGCGTCACATTACACGCATTTGGTGATGCTAGTACAAAGGGCGTCAGTGCTGCAGTCTACGCTGTGGTCCATCAAGATCAAGGCGTCACTCAGCAACTAATTTGCGCGAAGTCAAGACTCGCAAAGAAGTCCCTAACGATACCAAGACTCGAGCTTGTTGCAGGTCATATGGCCGTTAACTTGGTAGCCAACGTACAAGCAGCCTTAAGTGTCCAACCATACAGCACCCATTGCTGGCTTGACTCAACCGTGGCACTCTACTGGATCAAAGGTCAAGGGGAGTATCGGCAATTCGTATCAAACCGAGTGAACAAGATCCAACAACACGAGTACGTCAGTTGGCATCACGTCCCAACCGAAGACAATCCAGCAGACCTGGGGAGTCGAGGAGGGAATGTGGTCAACAACAACCTCTGGAATCATGGTCCAACCTGGCTTAGCGATACTGCAAAATGGCCACCTGACATAATACTCGAACCTACGCCCGAAACCATGACTGAAGCCAAAGTGAAACGAGAAGTTCTCTCTGTTGCCGTTCCCAAACAAGATACACCACGTACTTATTAACCACTCATTACCAAGAGGTCTACGAATTGGAGCTTGGGTCTGGCGATTTGTTCATAACTGCAGAGGAAAGCCACTGAAAAGAAGGAGTGGTCCAATCAACACTGAAGAGATTCAACAACAAGAGCTTTTGGATCAAACAAGCCCAACAATCGGCGCTCCAGCTAGCCAATTTTGAAGAAGACAGACTGCAGTTAAACCTTCAGTACAACGATCAGAAGGTCTTAGAATGCCGAGGACGTATCATGGGAGAATATCCGATCTATCTTCCAGATGAGCATCCCTTCACCGCGAAGTTGGTCTTTAATGCCCACCTTTCCACCCTGCATGGAGGGGTTGGGCTCACCATGGCAAAGATACGCGAGAAATACTGGATACCCCGCCTACGACGCCTAGTAAAGAAGCTAAGAGGTAGCTGCTACGGGTGCAAAAGATTCCGAGCCAGAGCCTACCAAGCACCACCGCCAGGGAATCTACCCCGAACCAGAACAGAAGGTTCAAGGCCTTTTCAAGTGATAGGAGTTGACTTCGCAGGACCAATACGCTACACGTCTAGAGCCAAAACCGAAAGCAAGGCCTATTTGGTGTTGTATGCTTGCAGCCTGACCAGAGCAGTTCACCTTGACCTGTCAAAATCCCTGGAAACATCAGAGTTCATAGCGAGCCTCAAGCGGTTCATAGCTCGAAGAGGGAGACCGGAAATGATCTATTCCGACAATGGATCCACTTTCAAGGCCGCCGAGAAATGGTTACTACAGGTGCAAAAAGAGGAAAGGTTCCATGAGATCCTAGCTGACCTGGCAATTAAGTGGCGTTTCAACCTGAGTCGCGCCCCATGGTGGGGAGGTCAATTCGAACGCCTTATTGGCCTATTCAAAGGTGCCTTCTACAAAACCATTGGCAATGGGACTCTCCGCTGGCCTGAATTGGAAGAAGTAGTACTTGACGTCGAAGTAGCGCTCAACAACCGCCCCTTGAGCTACCTCGAAGACGACATCCAGCTTCCAGTGCTGACGCCCAACTCCATGCTGAGCATCAACCCGAATTACCTCCCAGAACTACAAGCACACCATGCACCAGAAGGCGATCTGAGGAAAAGGGCTAAATTTCTATTGAAGTGCAAGGATGTTATGTGGAAAAGATGGACAGCAGAATACATGAGAAGTCTACGAGAGAGCCACCGTAGAGCAGGAGGGAAGCAAAGGCCCCATCCTAACATCGGAGATGTCGTCATCATTCGAGGTGACAGCAAAAACCGTAACCAATCGAAACTGGCAATTGTCATCGACCTCATTCGAGGAAAAGATAGCATTGTTAGAGCCGCTAAGTTGAAAGTAGGCAAAGACCACCTCGAGCGTGCATCCCAACACCTTTACCCTTTGGAGTTAGCATGTACCCAATGGCCATCGAGTTCAACGCTCAACCCATCTGCCCCCGAGTTCCAGGCAAGGCCTCGAAGGGATGCTGCTGCTGCCGCAGCAGTTCGCGTTCAACAGATCGCCGAACAATCAGAACACTGAACGTCGGCCGTATTAGGTCAACTTTATCTTGAACGTTTCAAACAACGAACACTTATTCTAGGTTACCGCTTTATTCGCCTTTGTTTTGTTCGAAGCTCTGTGCCCAGTCCAAGTAAACATGTAATTCCCTTCCAGGGACATTCATGGGGGAGGGTGTCGAGGACTGGGGCACATATTACGTAATTATGTAACCCGTGACAACGGAAGC